AAAATTGTCTTGCAAAGTGACAGTCTTTGTGTTTTCATAATTATTCTCCTGCTTATTCAAGAGTGCTATGTTACTCACAATAGGTTTTGTCACTCTGACAGCATATAAAAACCTTTATCACATTTCTTCAGCCTGTCTTTCTAGCCACATCGCTTTCTAATTCTTCCCAGTAATACCTGTATCTCAGGGCAAATTGCTCATGGTTCTCCAAATGCACAGTAGCATTTCCTGTCTCTAGTCTGTCATAATGCTTTTCACTCCGCCTATAATCCCTCTATCATCCAAGATGCCAGTTTACCATAGTGTGTATTTATATGATCTTTTAAGATAAAATGAATGACTAACTTTATTCATTTTGTCATATCGGGCAGTGAGTCCAATACTTGATGTAAAGCCATGTTTATTAACTAAACTTGTAATTAAATGTTGACCTGTGCAATTTGATAGAAATGAAATTATTGATACATAAAAGTTTACTATATACAATGCAAAATTTGTTATTTCATAACAACTAGTTAGTACTTATTACATGCTGAATGTTCTAAAATGAGTTAAATGCACACCAGTTCTCCCAGGCAGCTTTTTATTCCTCTATATAATTTAAACTCCATTTTAGAAATGTAGACTGAAATCCAGGAAGATAAAAATCATCTTCCCAAGAACACTAAGCTAAATAAAATTCAACACTTATTGAATCTTGGCTGTCTGGCCATACAGATAATAATCTTCTGTTCCATTAGCTTCCACTTACATATTAAAAGTATATTTATAAGAAATGATAATTTGTTCCATAATAAATAGTCCCACCTATGTGTAGTTCCAGCAGTTCTCCTGAGAATACTGTCATTGCTTTCAACTGTAACATTTGAGGACTATATTAAGTTCTTTAAAAGTCTTAAGAAAACTTTATTAGATAAGAACATCTTGGAATGTTGTTTCTCTGTGTATTTCCTTTTATTGTTTGGACAGGAATAAAATGTACAAATATGGACCAACCAGTTTCTACCAGAATTATATATTTCCTCTATTGTTGTCTTTGTTTTGTTCTGTTTAATTTTGTTTCTTTGTTTATTTGAGGCATTGTCTGCTTGGCTATCCTGGAACTCACAATGTAGATCAAGCTGAACTTGAACTTGGAGAGATTCACCTAACTTTGCCTCACAAGTGCTTAGATTAAAGGCAGAAGATGTCTGTGCATCTGAAATCTTAGGCAAAACTTACAAAGAATAATGTAAACAGAGGCTAAAGAAAAAGTTTAATGAGCAAAGTTCTAATCATGCAAGTATGATGATCTGAATTCAGATCCTCATGTAAAAAGCTGGCCATAGCAATGTGAGCCTGTAATTCTATTGCAAGGTGATGATAAAGACAGGGAGATTTTCAAGCTCCCTGGCAGGCATTCTAACCAAGACAGTGAACTACAGGTTCAGTGAAGACTCTGTCTTTGAAAATAAGATAAAGAGTCATAGGGAAAGAAACCTAGTATAGATTATGACTTATACACACATGTACTCACTACACACATGAACTCACACTCACACACACATACATACATACACACATACATACATACATAATTCATATATGCACACACATATCACGTGTACACAAACACCAAAGTTTCTAAAATACCTTAAAAGTAGTGTATGAAGCCTTGCGGTGTCCAGTGAATAAGTTACATCTACCACATTGAAAGTCTCATTTTCCTCCACATTCGTGTCCATCAATTTACAGCACTGACATTAGAGCCCCTCCTTACCAATGGTGTGCAAGCATCCTATGCCATATTTTGGCAGAGATGATGAGATAAGAGTGCGAATGATCTACATTCTCAGTGCAGTAGACACTGTTCATAAAATAGACATCAGTGCGTCATGCTCTGGCTAAAGATCCAATGTCCCCAGAGACAGGTGTCAGTTACTTTAACCTACATGAGTGCCCTAGCAAGAAGTTGTTCGCATTCTACTCCTTGATGGCTCTAGGGCAGGCTTTGACTTGCAGATGACATGCTTTGGTGTCATGGAAATAAAACAATTGAAATTTATGCACCAGGAATACTGAAGCATGCATGGGCAATCCTTAAATGACAGTTCCGTTGAATTTGTCTATATTGGGTTTCATGGTCTAAGTTGATGAGAATGATTGACCAAGTCTCTTCCTCTCGGTACCATGGACTATCTCAATATTACAAATGACATGCAAAAGTCTAATCTCTTTGCTGTAGAAGATTTAGTTTCCTATATGGCAGGTGTATTGTTCTATTGGGAGTCCTTCAAGCTTTATCGTGTGGTTGTGATAAAATACCATGACTAAAAGCAACCGAGAGAAACAAGGGGTTTATTTCATCTTACAATTCTAGGTTATAGTGGAGATGTCAAGACAGGAACTTCAAATAATTAGTCATATCATAAAAAGTCAACACCATAGAGAAATGAATGCCTGAAAATTCACTTGCTTGTGTTCAACTTCATTTCTCTGATTTCTCCAGCCTAATATAGCTCAGGACAACATTCAAAAATGTTGCTGCCCACAGTGAACTGGGCCTACACACATCAATTAAGTTGATTAACACAATCTCTCACAGACATGCCCGCAGGATATCTCTAATCAAAACCTGTCTTCCTAAGAAATCTGCAGTTGCATAATGTAGTCAGTGAAAGTTAACCCTCACAGGCTATAAGTCTGTTTTGGAACATTCATTTTGCTGGCCTCGCCAGTTTATCCACTTTCTTCTGAGATGCCTCTGGGACCTTGACTCAGTGAGGCTCAACTTATTAATGAGAACTAAAAGGAGGGTATTTGGAATCAGAAATTTAGTGGAAGGCCTGGACATTTATTTGGCAAGATCTTATTAAAATCTGGGGTAGTATCATGGAGATCTGCAGACATCTCTGTGGGAGGGGCTCACCCTTCCTTTTTTTATGCTAATGTCTTATATTGATTACTGCATATGTCATCTTTGTCATGAAAAGTATGCGAATGAATGAAATTCATTACTCCTTGGAAAATTAATTTCTGGTCATACAAATTTATGGAGCACACTAAAGCATATGGAAGGAGATATTGCTTGATAACTCACACTTTTTAAACTTTCTTTTTATGTATTCAATATATATAATATAATATAATAATATTCATATTGTGCATCATGATCCCATTAATTTCCCTGTACCTTCGTATCCATCCTCTGCCCCTGAACACCCCCCAAAAAAATAGAGAGGAAAAATTAAAAATCTCACCATGGAAGTTGCAGTGTGACACAGTGAGCCATGCAGTAGCCCCTTTGTCCATACATCTTTACTTGCAAGTACTCATTGCAGAGTCATTGCTCTGGTTTGAGGCCTCTGGTTTCTCCTACACCATGGATGCTGGGCCCTCAGTAGGATTCTTTCTGGAAATTCTGTTGTTGTCCTGTGTTGTGGAGATCCTGCAGCTTCACGTCTGTAGGTCAGATCCTTCCACACGCTCCAGATAGGGTGGATGTTGAAGCAGGACAAGTCACAACCCTGGTTCTGGGCAACTATAGGGTTGGTCAGCCTGCCAGTTCTCTCCTGTCCTCATTACCAATGTGGATAATTCACACCCTTTTGGGAAATATATAAAGGCATTTTTTATTTGCAATTATGGCACATTTCTTATAATAACAGAAATTCAACTCTTATAGAGATTTTTTTTTACTTCTTAAAGGACATATATACAGCATATTTATTTCTAAAAGATAAACAAAAGTTATTTTCTTTACTAGTAAAATTTAGTAAAAAACAAGTAAAAAAGGTTAAAGAAAAGTTGAGTCAATTTTTTTAGCAGAGTGATATTGAAAAAAGTAAGTAGCAGTTTATATGTTTTTAGCATTTGTTTTCCATATGAACAAAGTAGCACATAGTCTATTAATAACTCTTACAAAAACTAGTTAAGTGTCTTCCATGGTTCGCCACTAGAAGGTTAGAGTATAAAGTTCTATTTTATTGGGTGCTGTCACAAAAGCTTGTAAACTGCATTATTATGCATTTTCATAAAGAAACGTGCAATTATATTCAATATTATTTATTTCAAAATAAGAGTTCCACAAATGCATAAATTCATCTGTGAGTATTTATGATATTTATTAGAGTACCAAAGCTTTGTGCTGCTCACTAATGAATGAGGATGATGACTGTGAGCCTGAATCTGTTTAACACACTGTACTCTTTCCGAAGTCATTGGGTGGTTTCTAGTCAGGGCCAGGTTTTGCTCTTCATCTTCAAAAATTCCAATAGGGCTCCAAATAGTAAAGTTGTGTAATTATTTCGAGCTTTCAGCAGCTAACATGATGCCTGGCCTCAACTTGTGGCATACCAATAGCTCTTGTGGCTAAGCTGAATGCCGTCTCATTGCCGTGACTCTAGTTTGCAGTTTCAGTCTGTTCTTCATTATAAATTTGTCACCCTGGAATATTAGTGATCCAAGTGACAACTGGCAAAGTTGTTTCTATGGAAATAATATAAGACATGTAACGTTTTAAATATTTTTGTAAACTTTATCAGGAATAGATGATGGCACACGAATGTGGTAAGTGGTTAGACACTGATCGATTTAGGCTCTGTTAAGTGAAAATACTGTATAATTCATTTTTCATTTTGTTTTTGTCATTTAAACAGGGTCTTGCTATACAGGTAGGGCTGTCCTGGAATGTGCTGTGTTTGAACTATGTGCAAACTCACAGCAATCCACCTCCCTCATCCTTCTGAATATTCAAATTACACATGAGCTACCATGACTATCTTACATTTTTTATTTCCTTATTAAGAGAAACCTATCTGTGCATATATATGCCCACCAATTGCAGACTTTCCAAATTCCTTTGGTATCAAAATTACATATAGGACGTTTCTGCATATAGGGGCACTCAACTTCAGTTATCCCTAGATATGGTCAATGTGTCGAGAAATTCATGTAGAGTGAGTGAACATTGGAAGCTTCTGCTTTCTACTTTAACGTTCTTCTCTTCTTTCTTCTAATAGGAACTTTTTACCCCCGAATGCAAGTTTAAAGAGTCTGTTTTTGAAAACTATTATGTAATCTACTCATCCATGCTGTACAGGCAACAGGAATCTGGCAGAGCCTGGTTTTTGGGATTAAATAAGGAAGGGCAAGTTATGAAAGGGAACAGAGTAAAGAAAACTAAACCAGCAGCTCATTTCCTACCCAAGCCATTGGAAGGTGAGTACTTGGAAACCGTTATATACATTTTTTTTACATGGATACGTCTGATAAGGTCACAGGAACCTTCCATAGGTTGACAGAAATGTCCTTTATTGGAGTGCTGTTTGAATATGTTTCTCCTTATTGTTATGGGTTAAGCTTTGTGGGCACCAATATAGGCCTGGGATAGAACATGAGCTCAACATGGGCCAAAGCGAGGATTTTCATTTCTGGACACCAAACTGAGGGGAAAGAAGAAAAATAAAAACATCCTTTATCTCTCCCTCCCTTTCTCTCTCTCTCTCTCTTTCTGTGTGTGCATGCGTGTGCACGCATGTACACACAGCAGAAAACTTCTTTCAGTGTTGCAAATCCTCACTATCCCTAATGAGCTAAATACCTAATGATTTATAGTCAATTACTTGAAAGATAAAAATAAACTATGTAAACATGTAATAAGTATATAATAAAAAACATTTTCACTTGCAATTTCAAGTATTTGCCTATTTTCAAATTGGGTAAAATTTTTTTTTAAATTGTTATAATTCTTAAAAAATAACCCTTAAAAAACTCTGTAAAGTTCCATATCTCCTTCTAAGCTACATAAATTATTTCTCTTGTATTAAAGGAACGTACCTACTTTCTGTTCTAAATAGCAGCTCCTTCACATTTTTATCAGATATCAAGGCTCAAGTTACCATGCTCTGTTGATTAGAAATATATGTACTTTGTTCATTAATTATTCTGTCAGAAGGACCAATCAATTACTATTATTTATGGTAAATTTTAAAACTGAAAAAATGACTTTGATACATTCCAAAATTTTCTTAAGAATCAAAATGAGAAAAACAACAAAGCAAGCAAGTTTCACAGGTGCCTAGCCTCTCGGGATAAAAGAAAGTACCACCAGGTCCCTCTAGAGGCTGACACGGTTATGGTTCTTGTAGGTTGTAGCCCAGATGATCTACAGAATTTCTCAGTTTTCTCTTAGGACTCTTGAGGCTTCATGCTTTGAAGCTCCTCAGTATTACCTCCTACCACTGAGCTGACCCAGCCCTTCTCCTATAGGTAGGTCATGTTTGAGACATATAAGAAAAGGATGAGGGCCACAGAAATATCAGAGACTCTTCTGCTGCATTATAAATAGTATTATCACAAATAATCCTATTATTTGGTATTCCAGTCTTAAGTTTAACTGTTGTGTGAGTATTGTGTTTACATATGAGGAGAGAAAAGTATTGTGCTATCATGTTTGAAAACAATTCCTGGACAGAGGTATTCCAAACAAAACAAGAGAGTATCTTCTTCTATTCCTTTAAAACCCTGCTTCTGAAGCACAACATTTAATAATGAAGATTATTATGGAGATATTAATTTCCTTTACAAACCCAAATAGGTTATATATTATATTGAAAAATTTAGGACAGTTATAGACATTTTCACAGGGGTATGATTGTTTCTGGAATATTCTAGGGCAGTCAGATCTCCCGACAAACTTTATTTAAAAGATGGTATAAGTCAAAGCTTTGATACTATTTGGTCCTAAGTTAACTAGTCCAAGTGAGAAATTGGAGATGCTTCAAGAATGAAGACAGACTTCTTTCTTTTTCTCATTTTTTAAAAATTAAAATAGATTTTTAAAGCAACATATTCTGATCATGTTTTCCCACCCCAAGGATCCTCTCAGATCCTCTCTATTTCCCTATCTACCCAAGTCCACACCCTTTCTTTCTCTGTGTCATTAGAATTGAAATTGGCATCTAAAAAAGTAAAATTTGATAAAATAAAACAAATAAGCCAAAATAGGAGAAAACAAATAAACAAAAAAGAAAGAAGCCAAAGAATAAGCTTAATACATATAGATGCAGAGACACACAGATTAACACAAACAGAATTAACATAAAACACAAAATAGGAAACCATTATATATATATATATATATATATATATATATATATATCCTATAAGGAAAGAAAACAACAAAAATCCTAAAGCCCTGACAAAGCATTATGAGACAAAGAACCTCCAAAAATGCCATTAAGTTCATTTTGTGTTGGCCATCTATTGTGGAGTATGGAGATAAGCCTTAAGAGTGGTTTGTACCTTTAGACTCCTCTGGAGAAAACTAATTTTTCATTTGTGAGGAGTTATCCCTTGGAGAGAGCTCCTGGGTTAGAGACTGGCTTCTTTTACATGATTTCTAAGTCATTTAGCTCAGTATGCATTTACCTTTGTAAGGGTGCTAAGAAAAATCATGTGATACATTGATGCAAATGTAAGACACCTCTACAGTTCTCATGGCATTGATCCTCACTCAACCCAGCATCTCTTCTGCAGCACCTATGCTTTCAAAACCCAAGCAGGAAGTTGGGAAGATAGACTATAATTATATTGCTGATGGCAGATGAGTTTAGGTCAACTAATTTTCCACATGTCAGATACTCTTACATAGCCTTTCCTAAGACTCTGTGAAAGCACTTCCTAAAAAGTGGCATGAACTATGGTGCTTATGTAACAAGGCACAACTCAGATAATTCCTTAATTTTCTTTCAGGCATTAGTCTCTGCTGCTCTTACTGTGTTATGCCTCTGTCCTACCAACACCAATTATTTGATTTTTAAACAATGTATCAGAAAAATAGTTAAAAAAATATAAATGCCATATAATTGCCTCCAGATGTATAAAATCTCGATTTATGATAGAGGAAAAGAAGAATAGAAGAAATTATTCACAGAAGATTCGGGCTTAAGCAAAAGGAAGCCTTTATTACTATGCTCTGTGCAGCTTTCAAGTGGAACCCAGTATGACTGTGTGACTTTTAAACCACTGAAGAGAAAAATAGCTTCATGATCTCTGGTGAAACTAGAATTAGGTCAAATACTTTTCTTCCTGGAGGTTGAGGAGAGAGAGCCTGTGTGTGTGTGTGTGTGTGTGTGTGTGTGTGTGTGTGTGTGTATCTGCATGCATGTGTGCACGCCCTCAAGTTTGAGTTAGTGTGCTTTTATTTATATGTTTACAAAAAGTTTATAGCTCTCATTTAAACTTTATTAGAAAACACATCTATGTATGTATGCACACACATTTTAGTATATAAATTAGAAAATACATCGAAAGCTATGTCTTAATTTGTAGATTAGAAATGACTGCCTTAAAACTGCTGTCCTCTTATCAATGGGGTGGTGCTCATCCACCAAAGACAGATACAGACTGGCTGAGGTCTGTGCAAAATGTGGCATGCCATTCTTGCATGGTAACCAGATAACTTCTTCTTTTCCTCTCCCTGTCTTTACATTTCTAGTTGCCATGTACCGAGAACCATCTTTGCATGACGTTGGTGAAACGGTTCCGAAAGCTGGGGTGACACCAAGCAAAAGTACAAGTGCATCTGCAATAATGAATGGAGGAAAACCAGTCAACAAGTGCAAGACCACATAGCCAGATCCTCAGGTGTCCTGACTTACTTGTCCAGAGCACAGTGGAGTGATTTATCCTTACTAGACATTCATGCTCCCGTGGCTGAAGAGCCCCAGCAAGCAAGCTCATGCTTGTTCTATGCTGTCTCAGACCTCCTTCGTTGCAAGTGGATAAATCTCAACCTGTGGACCCCCCACACCAAGAAGACACCTGGACAAACCAGCTAAACTCAGACCATGGAATGCCCTACCAGATATGGAATGCCTTTTTAATATCTTTTCTGTGACTGTGACACTTCATGTGAATGACATACTTCACAAGTACATTCAATACCTTGCCTGCTGACAGCTATTCATAATCCTTTTTGAGTCCTGTTTCAGCGAAATCCATGTGTTTAAGTTCAATTTTGTAGCACACAAATAATATTGAGTAATTTCTAGTTAGACGCTGTAAACCTGTGCTATCATGGATTTCTCTTTTTCCCATTTTTGCAGGGCTGCTTGCTCCACTGTCTGTGACATTTAGCAGGATTGTGTTCCTCTGAATCTTCAGTGTTGTAGTTGGTTTAGTTCGGAGAACAATCAGGGAATCAGGAAGCCTTCTAAACCTATTACTACAAATCGTATCTACAAAGATTAAGGTTGTCTTTGGCTCATATTACCAATCAAACACACATATATGCTCTGTCCAGTAGGAGACACTGGACTCCCGAGGTGGTCATGGCCTGGGTGGACCAAGGGTCAAACACAATCCATGGGAAGCTCTCTATGATAGGTGTTTGGCATCCCCTCTAAGTTTATTCGTGTGTGTATGTGTGTGTGTGTGTTTTATACATATCACAAGCTTACTGGTAATGGTAACATTTGCCTTGCCCAGCGAGCAAGACCCACTTGGTTTTTGAGAAAGTGGGTCCAAAGAATTCTGTAGGCCTTGTAGGCCTGATTAAGGTTCATTTTTTCATCAATTAATCCTCATTATTGGGAAAAAGGAAAAATAAAAACAAATCATTACAACCTATAAGAAATATGCTACCTAAATCCATTTCTGACCCCTTCCTTCCGTTTTTTTAATGAAGATAATTCAATGCCACACTGATTTGGGCTGCATTCCAGTTATCCTCAGTAGAGCATGGGCAAGGCGGCTGTCTGTTCTTTCCTGCAGCAGCAATGCACACGTTAGTATAAATTAGACTTTCATATTTTTGGTTTTCAATGACAAGTTTCTAAACTGGATGATAGGAAAAATTCTTTTTTTCACAGCTTAGCATGCTGGGTCTGGTACTGTGTGTGTCACCAGTACACATATACCTCTAACTCAGCTCTGTAGGGTCCAGCAGGTTGGGTTTGAGGTAAATTGCCAAGATATCAGAATGCAGTTTGTTGAGTATCCTATATAAAACCGAGACAAATCAACACACTCCATCATTAGGGATTTGGGCCATTTAATTTATTTGATTTTGTTTTCTTTTGCTTTTTGTAACTTCATTTTTAATTAAATTCTGTTGAATTCCAAGTTTAAGGGTATTAAGAAAGGTGGTAAATTTCTGGAGACAAGGTTTGAAGAGTCTATATAAAATGTTCAATATTGGGTATAAAGAGCTTCAAAATGTTTCATTCTAAACTGTTTGGAAATACATTTGTTACTTGTGTGTACACAATACAATTCCATGGTTTTTTTTTCTCATAAAAGCTCATTGATACCAAACTGAACCTCTTTTTTAGAAAACAATCTATGTGTGATCAATGTACTGGCCTCTTGTTCTTATTTCCATGTGGCAGAATAACCTAGCTGTCACTGGCCCCCATCTACACTGTGCTTACTGGGAAATTATTTTCTCATTGATTTCATGAATCTTCATGACAGCCCTTGCCCAACATAGAAAAAAGTTGGCTTGCTTAGGTGATTAAAGAGTCAGTATAAATTTAACTATGCTTATTTCATTTTCATATTGGATTCAATTTTAAGAAATAACAATTAGCATACTGTTTGAGTAGATTTATTGTCAATAATGATCAATTACAAATACAAAAAAAAATGATTCTTTTGACCACTACTGATTTGGTGTTATGCATACTTAGACAAAACCCATTAAATGATTATTTAGGGATGACATACATACCATAATATATGGTAAAATGTGAATAACTTGTAACTCCTTTTAGTTGGCCTTATAAACACAATTTATACCCATCCACATGTACACACACCCCAAAACTAGCCTACCTTTCTGTTTTTGCTAACCAGCATTACTTGAGATTTCTGTTCCGAAGACTGGCTAGTGGTTAAAATTAAGGCAAGATTTATTTTTGTAAATGATTGAGATTCACGTTAATGTTTTCCTGTTTTGTTTTTCAAGAGTTGTCAGTTGTCTATGAGAGAATGTATTACTGTAACCCTAGTGGTTTCTTCTAATATATGTTTAGATACATTGCAGAGGGTTTCTTGTTATACCTTTGGTTTAGTTAGACCATTTCCTTTGTGTCTCGTCTCACCTGTTGCATGGGAAGAGGAAAGCACCAAATGAACTGCATGTACTAGAACCCATGTAGAGGTACTGGTATGTATTTTTTGATTTACATACAGAGAGCTTGTCTGTATTGCACAATTTGTGTTTCCTACCATTTGTTGTATTCACAGATACAACATATCAAATAAAATACACATATTAAAGCATATGGAAACCATCAAATAACTTTATGTACAAAATAGCATTGTATCATCCTAAATATAGAGAACTCTCTGTAAATAAGTTGATAAATTCGATTTTCCCCTTTACCATGCCAAAGAAAACTTTAGCTCCTTGATGATACCTCTCTTGATAATTTTCTGAAAGAAGTTCATCATTCCTTCCCTCAGAAATTAAGTTTGCTATTATTAAGTACAATATGTCATCACTGATGTTCTGTATAGTAAATCTGATGGAACACATTTGTATTTATAGACTGTGTGTTTTATATCTCCCTGTATGTATATCCATTGTACCATGTCTCTAAAAACCCATACCTTCTGCATGCACATCTGGTGGGGGAGGGATAGTTCTACCACCTTGTTATGGTAGCTGATTGCTTTACCTATCCATCAACAGTGCTCATTAATATTAGTCCCTTACATAACTCAAGTGTCACAATTTTTGTTTCCAAATAAGTTTGCTTTCTGAAGTTTATAATATTTTACCAGGAAATAATTATGGAAGATACTCAAATAGTTTGTCCCGTGTGAAGTTTAAAAGGGAATTGAGTACACTTTCCTTATGTATTCTGGAAAATTTGGGATCTGTTTTAAATGTATTGTAGAGAATTTGGGAATCTCTTTTAAGTGTTTGCTTGTCCTGGGTGCTTCGGGGAGAGGACTAGATCTAAAAAGGATCTCATGACTTTTGCTCTAGTCTTTCTAATTATTGACTTCCCAGCAAGTAAACAGAATGTATCATACCTCACCATTTAATTATTAAATTACTTAACCATATATTTCCCCCCTAGAGTGACCAATATCAGATTTGGTACTTTAAGAAAAAAAAACCCAACAAATCCTTTGTCACTCCTTCAAGTGAATATGTATTATTTTGTTAAAAAATTTCTTCCAGATATTACATGAATAATAGATATTTGATATCCCCTGAAGAAGAAACATGTGATTAGAATGACAAAGTTTTAATTTAAAAGAAACAGAAAATAGTGTGAAATGATTTTCAATTTTATATCAGAAAACAGACATATGATAGGGAAACAATTAGGCTAAATGTGCAATTATTTTCTAAAGTACAGATTTAGTCAAATATAGAATGATAATTTATTGTTCTGAAATAAAGGACACAGGTACCTAAGGGTTTGGCTTAAAAAGTAACACACATACGTGAGTATGTGAAATACTGTGTGGGTTTCAAAGTTGTGACAACTGAGTTTGCAGATTGAGACTGTTGTATTTTTATTTTCCTTGTTCTTGGTTCTCAGTTAGTCTAATTTTGATATCTGCTGGTGAGGTTGAGTTTATTTTTGAGCTGGTAGAGGTAAGTCATTTCTTCCCTGGTGCTGCTGGAATCCAGATGAACTTAGAATTTCCTAAAGGCGGTAGGAACAATGGTTCTCTTCACATCTGGAGGACTTTTGTTGACGTTTATAATTCCTCTGGAAGGATTATTCACTCATGGTTTGTTAAACAAGTGTGGTGAGGATCAGAATCATCACCACTGGTGAACCTAATGCCACCTTTTCGATTATCATGGGTCCCAGTGTAATTTTTGAAAATCACAAGCAAACCAAAGAGATTGGCTTATTTTCTCCTTCTCATTACAAATTTGTCCTTGCTCAGCATTTTCGATGAGGTACTTTCTATTTTGGAGTCAAAGTACAGAATCATATTAAGGTAGGAGACACACTATGACTTTGCCTGTCACCATGGTTTTTTTGTTTTCATTTTTTAAACAAAAGTGCGTGTAATTTTCACACACACACATGTTACAGCAAACAAATTGAAGGTTTTTTTAAAGTCTGTTTTCCAAGAAAAGAAAACTGATTAGAGTTTAGGTTACTGTGAGACATATATTAGGCTCCTTCCATAATCTGTAACAACACACTCCAGAACATGGCAAACTACAACATACTTTCATGTTGTCTAAATTTTTAAGATACATTTTGATCTTCATGGAATTATCATTTCTCCAATTTCGAACTCTATTCTGAGAACACTTATATGCTAATGCTGTTTTAACACTTTTTCTTGTGAAGATACAAGAAGAACATCACATACTTTTGTGGTAGAAACTACTGATAGAAATGATAAAAACTAGAGAGAGAATTGTAATAATTAAAAAACACACACCTAGGGTGATGAAAGGGATCTGAAGGTAATTCCAAGGGAGCAAGGTCTGGCAAACTACCACACACAGCTGTGATTAAAGACAGCCCACAACCTGTTTATGTATGGCTCAGGATGGATTTTTATTTATTACAATTTTAAAATATTAAACAATTAAAGAAAAATCCTACAGTGGTTTATCTAATATACATTGTTCACACCTTTATAGAAGGCTGAGTCCTGCAGTAGGGAAATCAGAAGGTCTTTGTACCATGAGGAAATGGTCATTGACTCTCATGTTTGGATATCACCAAACATATCATCAGAATTGCTATTAAATTATTGTAATTGGCTTAAAATGTATATAAAGAAAAGGAAAGCATAAAGAAGAGGAAAAAACACAATCATCCATACTATACCTTAACTCCTTATATTTTCTTCATTTTATACAACTGACATTGATTGCCAGCTCAGTAATAGAAATAAAATCTATATGGCTGGGTCCCCTAATCTCAGGATAGAGGCAACAATTTTATAAATAGGTTAAATTCTCAGAACCTTATTATTACTATAAAACCAGCACCAGTGAAATTGACTCTTCAAATACTTTTCAGTATTTAATTTTTTAAGTAATACAGTGGAGGCATGTTTTCTTTACTTTCGGTGACTTGACTGATGAAGTCCAAGCCATGACTCTAGAATATTTACATTATTAATATAAAATTTGCAAGTAAAATTTCATCTTAAAACAATACAGAAATGATTTTGCTATGTTATTTTAGGATTTTACAAATAATTCACATTTAGGAAAAAGGTATTTTTTTAGCTATAAATAATGGTTGCTTCAAATATGTGTATAAGTAGATCTAACTGTATATATGCAAGGGAACCCCAAATATTGTACATTTTCATAATTCAATGTGAGTTTCATACAAAGCAAAATTTCACCAAGAAAATAAACATTTTGTTCCTATCACTGAGTGAATATTTGTAATTTTGATTTAAGCTATTTCTAG